CCCGCAACATCAGCGCAAAAAGGGGAAAGTGATTTAGACAAGAGAGAAGTGTATCAAAAATAGCCTTTAGCGAAATAATGACCATTCGTGCGACGGCGAAGTTCAAGTAGAACACCACCACGGTCGGGAGGAGGAAGAAGAGTAGGGTGAAGAGGATGGTGCCCACAAGAAGCTGGTCCAGGTCGTAGTCGCACGAGTCGATACGATTGCGGAGGACATTGTGCTTCTTGCCACGGAACAGGTGAAAGAGCGAGATGAGTATTGTGAGCTGCCAATGGTAGATCCGGGCAGATGCCAGATAAAAGGAGTAAATGTGGACGGTCAAGCTGGAAAGCAGGTCGGAGAACATGGCAATGGGCATGCTGGCTCCGGCGAAGCTGGAAAAGCCAATGAACCAGATGATATGTGGCAATAACGGCTGAAGCGTCGCGATACAGTCTATTCAAGTCAGTAATCTTCCACTCCTGAATTCTGAATGCAGACGAACTCACTTGACCAGTAATCAATGACCCAGAGGAAAAGGTCTCCTAGGAAGAGAGCCAGCTCGCTATTCAGCTTCAAACCCGCAGGCCATCCCATTAGCCACGATATACTTCTTTGAAGCGCCTCGACCGTGTACACCCTCAGAAGCTCGCTGATTGCGTTGGCGGCCCACTCCGCGTTGTCAATGATGTAGGAGCCCAACGCAATACCAATGATGACATCGTTGGCGACAAGCCATAGGCTATTGTAGAACCGTATGTAGTCAGGGTGACTGGTCGTGACGCTCTCCCAGTCATTCTTGCGCTGTCGCAAAGTGGTGTACTGCATGGGCCAGTAGCAAAACTGCTGCAATCGGATCTCTACTTGTTGCGCCGTTGCCGATATATCCTTCAAAGCTAGGTAGTCGTCCCTCAATCGGAATTCCAAAATTTGGAGGAGCAACTCAGCGACCGCCCTGTGACCCATGAGCATATACACAAACCCCCACTGTATCAGCGGAAGCAGGTAGAAGATCAAGAGGTCCCAGACGAAATTCCGCATTGATGTCGCATGCTCCACCACTCGCTCCGAGACGCTGAGAGATCGCTTGGGTCGGGTGCCGATCCGGGAGATGTTCTTCTGCAACAGCTGCTCCAGCTCCCACGACCAGTTGATTTGATTCACAATTTTTGGTAGTGCTCTCTCTTTTGGTGACGGAGACCGCTTAATGATGGTGTGTTGTTTAAGCTTTTCCACCAACTTTCTCTTTTCCTCCTTCACCTTCAGCTCCTGCCTCTCTTCTTCAGCCATGTGTTCTGTCGGTGGTAGGCCCGGTGCCTCCTTATTCCCAAGCGCGAGCGAGATGGGGTTCAGCGAGATGTACTGCATTCTGCTGGGGCGCGGTCGGTCGTAGAGTATGATCTGTATGCTGAGAGCCTTTGCGCACGCGATTCGGGGCGATTTTGCGCCGGCTGGTGTTGTCGCGATGAAGAGGGAGGGATCGAGTACGACGGCTTCGCTAGGGTTCGTCAGACCGAGGACGTGCATCGCATTGTGGCCGCATCGTTCGTAGATGCTATTGACGGGGTGAGGGGAGTTTCGAAAGAGGGTGCCGATTTTGAGGGCGAATTCGACATGGCCGGCCTGTAGATTGGTCAATTGGTGAAAGAGCTGGTGGTCTAGGGGGGTTGCTGACATCGACATCGTCAAGAATGGCTACGACGAAGACATCCAGGCTCGAGTTCCTCCATCCCACGACGACGCCAGGCAGGTCGGAGCGCTGGATGTCCGTCGGCCAGAATATCCTCATTAAACCGTCATTTTCTGGCATGTCAGCCGAGGGCAGCGCGGGAGACGGCGCTCAGAAGGAGCCTCTCCGTCGCAACTGTTCCCTGGCCGAGACGCCAGCTCCGGTGGATCGGGGATGCTGTGGTCGAGTCCGTCATTAGCCAGATGCTTCTCCCAGTTGCGCAACCAGACATGTCTCAGCGAGGGGGTCGAAAGGGTTTGTCGTACCAGGTTCGCCTCCTTGGTGGCCAATCGTTCCACGGGGATGAATATGACGAGGTAGACGAAGGTCAAGAGCGCGAAACCTTTGGCGGCGCGTGTCTAGACATGGATGTTAGGGTCGAGAAAGAGGCAGCGCATAGGTAGCTGGGCCCGAGGGAGGGAGGGAGGATCATCATACAATAACTCCGTAGTCCCAGGCGAAAATAGCAAGCTCATAGAGACGTGTGACCAGATCCCATCGAGCGGTGATGTAGCCAGCTACGAAGATCCCAAGGCTGAGAACCGAGAGGGGGTGCATAGAATCGTTATTCCCTTGGATAGTGCATGCCGAGGCTTGTCGCCAAGGAGAGGTACTGGTATGTCGGGGCGGAAAGGACCTAGTTTGAGCGTCGGACTGCGGACTCGGCGGCGGTGATTGCGGGACAAGCGCGGGGGGGAAGAGGGGGGTGAAAGCTTGGAAAGGATCGTGGGGTCGCAAGCTTGATTCGGCGTGTCTTGGAGAGCTTTCGGAGGAGGACGAGGGTCGGGCGAGGACTGGCTTGGTGCGATGATTCGAATCCGCTGATGTAGCACCGTAGTTGGTGTTGTGTTGCTTTGCGCAGAGATGTTCTAGATGGGAGGAGAAGAAGAAGAAGAAGAAGAAGGGACGTGGAGTCGTGGAGGGATGTGGGCGTGGATACCTTACTCTCGAGTCTCTGCAGTCTGGACGGCCGATGGAGTAAAGGTACTCGACGCGGACCTTGGAAAAGGGCACAAGACAAGATGGGACTAGAAACAACTATGTAGAGAGCCAGGGACAAGCTTCACGCGCGCGTAGAGGGATGCGGTAAATCTGGGAATTTGCCATGTAATTATTGGAGGGACAGAACGGGGGGTACAAGAGGTTTGGCAGCTTTGGGGTTAGCTGAGGTGGAGGACGTCAGGACATCAGGTTCTTCCTCTACCGGTAAGGTACACTGTACCTTGGGGAGTTAGTCCCTGTTGGTTTCTCTGCAGTGTGCCGTCCAGCCTCCAGCCTAGGGAAGGTACATATGCACATACAAGTCGCTCTGCCGCTAGCGAAATGTCTCGCTGGCGGGTCTCGCGTCCACTAAAGGAGACGAGAGATCTGGACATTTTCCAGGTTTGGCTGAATGCTGCACTTTGCAGGAGTTCTACGAGTAGGAGTTCCTGCTGACCAGTGACCCGCGGGACGCACTCAGAGGGTCTACGGGGATGTGGGCGGTCTGGAACCTGGAACGAGCCCCCACCCTGCTTGAGCTTGGCTTTTTCATAGCTGGGACTGGCCCGCCTCTGGTCCATGCTTCCATTTTTTGCTAGGTTTTTTCCATAGTGACCCGGCGCGATCTGGTGAAAGTAAATCTACCAACATCACGTGGGCTGGTGCATCACATCAAGGTACTTACCTAAAAGTACTCGGATAGTTCTATTCACGTTTTGTACATGTTCGTTAGACTTCATATGTCATATAGTTGTGCTCATAGGTTGGGACAAAAGGCTTTCCGTGTCCATCATGCAACTTGGGGGCCTCCTTGGTCGTGCATCAAGTCGATGGAGACTTGACGGTGATCTCAATATTGACACATGTCCAGCAATGAACCCACGTTACACCGTTTACCTGCACAGCCATCCAGGATTCCTTTCTTTGCCTTTGCTGTCTTGTTCGCATTGCGCATACTGTGGCACCCCACTACCTAGGTACGCAGTAAGTTGCTCTATGAGCCTGTGAGGTACCTTAGGCATCACTTGTTGTCTGCATCCCGGGAGTCTCCCTCGGAGAAATTCAAGCTTACCTGAGAGTCTACTCAGTCTAGACGTCGGTGTCCACATCCGAGTCACCAGAGGAACAGGTAGTCGGCGCGCGGACGCGTCATGGAAAAGCCAGGGAAAAAAATACATCATATTGGGAGATTGCCGTCTCTAAACACTGCCACATTGTGCCCGACAAATGCAACCTGGAAAAACGCCAAAGGAAACTAGCTAGCGAGATATCTTGTCCGGAATTGAAATGCCTCCTGCACAAGTGGTCAGATTCTCATCTCCACGAACACATTGCAGCAATGGGGAGGGTGCATGCTGATGCGGCACTCACATTTACGTCCCATGTATGTCGCATCGTTGTCTTTCTGGTCTTCCCGCGCCTCATCCAGCAGCTTGTCTATGCCGCGTTCCTTGAGAGCGACCTACCTGCCAGTCAGTCATTGTGCTCTTCCTCGCCGCTGACCCGAAAGCTTGGTTGTGAGAGCAGTCGTCGTTGAGACGTCACTTACCGTCAAACACTTTTGGTAGTTCTTGAATAGATCGGCACACTCATTGTTGTCTGTGCCGGTGCCTCTGAGGTACTCTTCAACCTGTCGTTAGAAGTCTCCTTCGTCATCCGTGTCATGTGCAGGGAACCAACTTACTCTCACTGTACCATTTCAAGAAGCATGTATCGTAGCGCCTACCCCAGCATGATTAGCAGCCCGTTCATTCGTCTCTTTACAAAATCAACTACTTACTCCTTGACTTCATTGCATTCGGGGGCTAAAGACGCAGACATGATGGATGCTTCTCTGTTGACGGAACTCACGGAGGACTGAGAGGTGAAGTTGCAGGTTGCGGCTAGAAATGGAGACAAAATCATCACAGGGGCCTGAGTGCCTAAGGTCAGCGGCGTCATCCGCTGTAAGTGGAAGGGCTTGGCCAAGGCTCTTGCCTTCCCTTTTACTGGCATCCACCTCACACTCACCAGCTTCATCCTCTGTGTAATCAATTGCAACTTCTCAATTTCAGACATTCTGAACACCAACACTGGGTTTGTGAAACTACTGTCAGCATCGACTGAAACCAGACTCTCCATCATCCCAATACGAATACATCTTTTATTCCTCGAAGTCGCTTATCCAGGCGCTTATCGATTAGATAAGGCCTCTAATCTTATCGGCCGGGGCCTTTCATGGTGGGCTCTTTTTTTTTGTTCAATCGTCAAACTTCGCAGCGAAACCGCGACAGCCTCCACCGAGAACCACACCCGTTGCGCCGATACGATGGCGTCCCCCCAGGACTTCAAGTCTCTTCAGGACAAGATCCAGGCCGCGCTCGTGGCCACTGTCAAGTCGGTCAACCGTGTCTCCGCCGAGGACCTGCCCTTCCAGCGCGCCGTCAACCCCAGCGTCGGCGACGATCTCGACGCCAAAACCACACGGATTCTCGAGCTCTCGACCACACTGCTCAAGTCAGCTGCAGAGGTCTGCGGAATAAATGCGCCCGATCTCGAAGATGCCGACGACGTGGATATGCGCTGGCGAAGCATCGTGGACGTTGTCGACTCAGTCTTGGAGAAAGCCGACACATCCATTGACGAGTACACCGGAGCTTTGAAGAGGAAGGATGCGCCTGCTGCTGATGCCGTAAGCGCGCTCCATTGTTGACACGGAATGTTATGTATACTGACGCTACATAGGCTCCCCAATCGAAGAAGCCCAAGACGGCTGGAGGCGTTGTCCGCAGTGCCAACATCACTAAACCCCAACTCCACTTCGATCAGCCGGTCGACAACAACGCTCAATGGAAGCCCCTCATTACCAAAAAGCCCCATGCTACGGTTTCTTTGGAGAAGAGCCTGATCACTAGCGAAACAGAAGAGGGTTTTGTCCAGTACGACTACCAAACTTTCTTACCGTTGATATTTCCTAGAGTGCCTAGTTCCGACAAGGTCGCATACAAGGCTGCAGCCAACTCGCGCAGGAGACTGGAGAAGTCACTATTTCTCAATGATACTGACAGAAAGATCAGATACAAGCATCCGTACGAAGCCGAAATCCTCGAGGCGAAATACCCCGACCGAGTCTACGAACAAGCCGAGCCGATTCCATGGCAGCCCGTCGAAGGTACGGAAGCTATTTACGTCGACACATACGAAGGGGTCCTGAAAATGCTGAAGGACCTCAAGAAGGCCAAGGAAATTGCCGTCGACCTGGAACATCACGACTTCAGAACATACGTCGGACTCACCTCGTTGATGCAGATAAGCACAAGAGAACAGGACTGGATTGTAGACACTCTGAAGCCATGGAGACAGCAGCTCCAGGTACTCAACGAAGTCTTTGCCGACCCCTGTATAATCAAGGTTAGTACTGCTAAGCTCACTGACGATGCCTCGACAAAACTAAAAATTCTAGGTCTTCCACGGCCCATTTATGGACATGGTTTGGCTGCAGCGCGATCTCGGTCTGTATGTCAACGGTCTGTTCGATACCGGAAGTGCATGCGAAGCGCTACACTACCCCCAAAAAAGCTTGGCATTTCTTCTCAAGAAGTTTGTCAACTTTGACGCCGACAAGAAGTACCAACTTGCCGACTGGAGAGTGCGGTAAGCAAACCCCTGAAGCGACCTCTCTGAGATACTAATACTGTGTAGCCCCCTTTCTGACGAGATGCTGTACTATGCCCGTTCTGATACCCACTTCCTGCTTTACATCTACGACAAGATGCGCAACGAGCTCGTGATGAAGTCGGACAGGGGCAACCCCAGCACCGACTACATCGAAATGACGCTCCAGAAATCCAAAACTCTCTCATTGAGTCGGTATGGTGGTGAGACGTTCGACCCCAAGTCTGGCAAGGGAAGCAAGGGCTGGTACAACACTCTTCTGAAGCACCCTATGCCCTTTTCGGGCGAGCAATTTGCCGTATATAGAGCCATCTGGGAATGGAGAGACGAGGTTGCACGGAAAGAGGACGAAAGTACAGCCTTTGTTATGCCCAATGGTATCGTTGGCGATATCGCAAAACACATGCCACCCGACGCCAAGGCTCTACATGCACTGATACCGAACCACGCCTTCATCGCACGGAAAAATGTTACGGAGATATGGACGCGCTACCAGGAGGCACGTGAAAGGGGCATCAACGAACCGCGTCTGCTGGACTTTTTCAAGTCGGAGCTTCCAAGGGCCGCTGCTAAGCCTTTGGCAGTGGCTGCGAGCGAGGACACGGTCGAGGGAGCGCTGGAACCTGCCCTCCTGTCAGAGTCACAGCTGTTCGGCCGCATGGCTCTGAGCTCGGCCTGGGAACAGCCAGCCTCTGCAGCTAATGGCCTTGGAGAGTATGTCATGCTCCCGTGGCAGAAGTTTGTGCAAAATGCGAAAACGGTCGAGGTCGCTCCCGAGGAAGATGTTGCTATGGAGGGAGGCGTCGAGGTCGAGGAGGAAGCCAAGGCTGCTGCGGCCGCTCAGCCCGCTGAGCCTGAGGTGGAGGAGGAATTCACCCTCAGGGCTGGCACGAAACGGAAAGCCCCTGCAGCAGACGCTTCTGATGTTAGCGACAACGAGTCAGAATCCGGCGAGAGCTCCATCGACATCGTTTTGGAGCGGCCAGAGTCCGAGAGAAAGTCAAAGAAGCACGGCAAGACGGATGCTGGCGAGCGCGAGGCAAAGGTGGCTGCGAAGAGAGCAGACAAGGTGGCGCGCTACACGGAAGATTACGACAAGGCCGCGGCCGAGGTACAACGCTTGGAGAAGGAAGTTGCCAAGAAGAAGGCCGAGCCGGCTCAATTGGAGGAGGCGAAGGAGACGGCCACGGAGAAGCAGAGAAAACTGCAAGGATACCTGACGGCGATCAATAACCGCAAGTCCAAGACGGAGAAGAAGGCGGCGAAGAAGGCCGAGAAGGCTCAAAAGGAGGCGGAGAAGCAGGCGAAGAAGGAACAGAAGCGTGCCGCGAAGAAGGCTAAGAAGGAGGCGAAGAAAGCCGAGCAGCAGGAGGCTGACGGTGTGGACTCGAGCGACAGCAACGAGGAGGAGGAGACGTTTGACTACAGCAAGGCCACATCGGTGCTCCATGCGGCGAGGACAGGCAACCGCGGCAAGACACACGTCAAGCCGACGTTTGATCCGTATGCGAAGACGGGCGATGAGCCGCTCAAGGGCGCGAGAAAGGCGCCGCCTCCCAGAGGTGAGAGGAGCGCTACGTTTAGGAAATAGGATGGGCGAGGTTCGTGTTGAGTTTTGCTGTCAGGGGGTTTGCAGCTTGATGGGAGTAGGATAATTGGAACGTGAGTGGATGAACCAGTAGCAATACTGTCCCGGGCGAGAAAAGTCCTCGGGCAGATGGTCCCGTCTAGAGTCAGGAACAGGACTAGGACATTTTGCCAAAAGAGAGAAATGATGCCATCATTACATGCATGTCTTGAAGCAGTGGCAGAGCTTGTCAAATTGATTTGTGAGAGATGTTATTCCGTTCTACGTGTTGCACGAGAAGACGAGCGCCTTTCGTGAGGGTCTCTCAGACATTGTAAGCCGCATGGTAAGCACGGAATTCCTTCCGCGGTTGTCACACCCTTCTTGCGGCTCCCCGCGTTTGAGTTGAGGGTGAGGGCGTCGAGGGGTTTGTGGTTTGTGGTTGTGTGGATGGATCATGGATATGTGGATGTCAAAAATCAAAGCCGCGCCATCTCCACACCGCGCCCTTCCATCGAGTAGCAAACACACGGCATGTCATATTACATGTGCCGATCTTATCGCGTCCCGGGAGTGGGAAAATGCGGAGCGCGGAGAAAGTAGCATGGCACTAGCGAGGTTGGGAACTTTGGAAGGGAGCAGCAGAGTGTTATGTCCGGACGTGTGGCACCCCTGAGCCTCTTTTTTCCTTGCTTTTTTCTGTTGTTTTGATAAGATAAGTAGCCAGCCGTACACAAATACTTATCTCGTCGCTCGTTTCTTGGGATTGAGGTTTGGGATCTGAGTTTACAGCTGTGGCTTGCATATATCAAGTTGAGACGAGATCTTTTAGACTTTTGAGACTAAACAAGAGATCAACTGCGCGACTTTAACACGGATTCCATCTGTAGGGCGTGCTTGTCACCGTAGGCATAAGACACTCCCTTAATATCATCTATCATGCTCACATCTTGATAGAACTTACCGTCCTTCAAACGCCTACTTCAAGCCTACAAAGAGCACAGCAGACAACATATTCTTACAAAAAGGGAATACAACCAACGAAGGAAGCAATGGCCGACCCCGCGACAGAAGTAAAGAAGCCGGCCCGCCCGCCCTCGGCTACGCACCACGTCATCGTCAAGCTCGAGACGATCCACGTGCCGCCTCCGGAGGTCAATGATGGTGACCTGGGGCCGGGAGTGACGCATGAGGTTATTGGGTACGAGTATACCCGACCCTCGGAGAGCGCCGTCGCGGCGGCGAGGGCGTGGCCTGCGAGCGTGCTGATTACGACGACTGTGCCTATTAATAAGGAGACGCTTGGGGAGGCGCCGTATTTGTGAGTTTTGGGTTGAATTTTCTTCAGTCTTGGGGGAGTTCGGTTTGGGTTGTGGTGGCTAAGGGTTGAGAGGGAGGAGGGGGTGAGGGTTGAGGTGAGGATGAGTTGAGGAGAGGATCTCAGGGGGAAAGGGGCTGTTGTTTCCAAGAGTAATGAGGTCAATGGCCGGGCAAGGTGGTCTGGCGCAGGATCGAGTGATTCCTACCTACCAGACCACGAGATTGAGAGGGTATGGTGTACCGGGCAGGGCTGATGACTTTTGAAGTCTTGCCTCTAGGACTCCTGTAAGACATTCTACTTGAGCTGGGAAACGACCACCGCCAATCTGCCTACATTACCGTGCTCAGAAGCAAACTCGACATAGCTAGCTGGTTTGAAGGCGAGTGATGGCTGACGACGTGGACGACGCAGAAAGTGTATCATCACAGAGACGGTGGGAACAGATCACATCGATCTAGAGGAGTGCAGGCGTCGCGGCGTGACCGTGATATACTCACCCAACGCGACAGTCGAAGCCGTCTCCGAGCACGCCCTCGGCTTGGTGAGTCCTTCCGCTCTCTAATTTGAGATGAATCTCGACATCTCAAGTCATGAGCCATCATCGACTAGGGTTGGAAAGAGAGAGAAAGCTGTTCACTGACCTTGGATGCCGGGGAACTCTAGTACTTCTCATCCCGCCGACGCTTCGTGACGCTCCACAACACGATGATGGACCACGCTGAGGGCCGCCCGAACCCCTGGCGCGCAAAGGGGAGCATGTCCTCCCTCCTCCTCGACAGTGAGGGCCGCCCGCCGCATACGTGCGGCAACGAGGTGGTGGGGATGATCGGCTACGGGCCCATAGGGCAGCGCGTCGCCAAGATGTGTCGCTCGCTGGGCATGAAGGTCCTCGTCGCTGCGAGGAAGAACGATGCCGCGCATGCTGTGAACGGTAACGGGGTAACTCCCGCTGCCGCCGCTCAGCCGAATGGCAACGGAGACGTCCACCGCACGCCCTTCGCAGAGGTCATCTGTCGCGCAACGACACTCTTCCTCATCGTGCCCCTCACGGCGGAGACCAAAAACCTCGTCGGCGAGGCTGAGATGGCGACGATGAGGCCTGACGCCGTGATTATCAACGTCGGGCGGGGCGGGACCGTGAATGAGGCTGCGCTGGTGGCAGCGTTGCGGGAGGGTAGGATCTCGGGGGCGGCGACGGATGTTTATGAGGTTGAGCCGGCGGGGAGTGGGCAGGATAGTGTGTTACTGGGGGAGGAGGCAAAGGGCTTAAACTTGACGCTGACGCCGCATTTGGCGTGGTGCGCTGATCAGACGAGGGTGAATATCCGGAGGGTTGTCGGAGAGAATGTGAGGTTGTTTTACGGGGGCGGGAAGGGTAGTAATGTTGTGCTTGATATGCGGTGAAAAACTTAGATTATTAGGATCGAGGGAATGGGATAGATTCATCTCATCGAAGCCGGATGGGTATTGTTGAAATAGTATGTCGACGTCTGAGTAAATGTCGGTGAGATTGAGTATGAGCCAAAAGACTGATGAAGTTATTCTCACCAGAGATCATGAGCTTCCGCCCCAGATTAGAGCGCCCGCCCGCTGCAACACCCCACACTTTGCGTCTTTTAAATGCCCGAAGACGACCTCGCATCTCATTGGTGCTTTAGACGGCTTCCAAGTGATGCCAAGACATCTGCTTGATCCCGGCGAGCCTCAAAGGTTAATCGAGCAATAATCGATCTCAATTATCAGCCTTCATGAGAATCCTGTATGCTGAAGCTCGGGCCAGCGACTGGATCGACGCGAATCACATAGAGAAGGTCCTCGTGCGAGGGAGAGCAGTTCCGACGAGACCTACTCAGTATAGATCAGGGCGTTCAAAGAATGAGCAAGTTTGAAGTTTTCATTAGATCAAAAGATGATCGTCTCGAGGATTGACGCGCCGCGCAAGCCTCACTTCTATCTCATCTGTCGTACCAAGCTCCTGAATATGTCGCGCATAGAGTGGCTAGCAACAACACGACTCACGCGAGTTCCGTCGCTCAAAATCATTCGAGCTTTGTTATGCTTGAAACATCTAAACTTCTCCCACTTGTGCCGTCCGCCGTGCCCACAGTGGCACAGTTTTGGCGAGATTTGCTTCTTTTTTCGCGACTCGACCTAAGCAACAATTTCTCACAAACATGCAAGAGCCTGCAATTCGCGGGTTTTTAGAGAGCGTCGTCATCAAAAATAAGTTAATACATTTGAACGATATTTTGTCTAAGCCACAGTGATGCGTTCATCCGTTCGGTGAATGAGTTAGTGAACGGCATCGTTCGCCGTGCGCTGGAAATGCAGGACGCGGGAGTCCCCACTGATCGCCTTTAATTTCCTCGACCCCTGGGCTCTGCTCTGGGCTGAGTTGAGCTCACCTGTCCGGATGAAACGTCAGCTGCTTCCGAGCGTCTTACCTCAAGTAGGGATATTGACTGAGTGAGCTCCTGTATCCAAATGTGAACGGCGGGCTGCAGCTCTGCCTATTTACTTGATGTGCTGGTTCGTCCGATGAACTCTCATGTTGAGTTTCGAGAGACATGAGATGTGGGTGAGTGGAGGTCTGTCATGTCATAAAAACAACAGAACACGAAGTATTAGCTGGCCAAGGCAGTGCCGCGGGATCCACCGCGGGAAATGTCAGATTGTGTGGGGATTTGGGACGATGGGTAAGGGGTGTCAGCAGAAACTCTCACTCAGGAGAGCCAAGCCTTTCTTGTTCTCCCAGGTTGATGACTTGGCATCGAACAAGCTCTCGACGTCAGTCAGGCACCATCGATTCTCAAAATGGCCTCTTGATTAGAGGTGAACGGGTCTGTCTGATGGAAATAGAAACCCAAAAGGTCTAGAACCCGATTCCGAGCGGGAGACTGGGATGCTTCCCGCCCCGCCGGGACCGGGTGCCGCGCGCTCAGGGGCCGGCCGGCCTCCAGGCGCTCGTAATGCGTTCGTTTGTTCGAAACGCGGGCCCCAGAAGCAATTTACATTGGACATACGCTACCACCCACAGAGAACACCAGACCAAGATGAAGGGAAACAAATCCCAGGGATGGGTCGATTTTGAGCAATCTATATATGAACTTGACGCGACTTTCCCTTTTTCCTCCGAAAGTCTCGTTTTGATCTTGCTCTCCATTCTCACACACCACCGTTCATTCGTGCTTCAATTCTTTGCAACTCCTTGGGCTGGACTCGGATAACTCTCGTTTACAACACAACCGGAAACACATCACACTCGTTCTTACCCATTTTCCGACCTCTAACCGCCTCAAGATGCAGCTCTCCGCCCTCTTCCTCCTCGCCCCCGCCCTCGTGGCCGCGACCCTCGACCCGGCCACCTCCAACACCAAGGGCAAGTGTCCCTCGAGCTACAACTGCAGCGCCACAAAGGTCTCAAAGGCCATCCAGGCCGCCGAGTGCTCCCACAACACCCGCACCAGCAAGACCCAGACGTTCGCCGTCTTCGAGACCGACCACCAGTACGACGGCAACAACGGGTACCCCTACGGTACCTGCTCCGCGTACACCTGCGAGTCCCCCACCGAGATGATCACCGACGACGACTGCTGGACTTTCTTCTGGAGGTGAGTTGCGAAAAGATGAACCAGTGATGTTCTTTTTGTTTTGCTAGTAATGGACTGGTGGCTGACGGGTTTACGATGTATAGCGGCACCGGTGAAGAGGACGGTGTTGGCACCGGCTGCATCAAGGACCCCAACACGGGCGTCTGCGGCTGCGAGAACTCTGACGGCACCTTCATCTCCGGCGCCAGCGACTGCACGTAAAGAACGTCTGACTCATAGGAGACGTTCGTGGTGGTTGATGGGAGATGTGGTCATGCTTGACATGAGCCAACGGTGTGTGCTATTCATGTACATATACGATACAAAAAAAAACTTTTTGTACAAAAATGATCAAATATTCATTCACCACGTGGCCTAGATGGGGCGTGGTCATCATCATCCTGGCACAGAGTTTGCTGCTCTATAACGCTTAGTATATCGTTCTCCATCTTGGTTAAGACTCGGGTCTCGATGTGGCCCGAGCCATCCTTTTCATTGAAATGAGGCTGAACCTAAATAGCCTTTGGAACTTTATCCCGCATCTTGGAATCATCTCATGATGTAATCATTTGCCTGCCATTGTTAGTCGCGAAATTTGCACTCAAACATGGAGTTAGGCCCCTCAATAATACTACCAAGCATCCCAGATCGAAGCAAAACACCTGCCAGCCTAATTGCTGGTATCTATGCTCAATGATCTGAGCTCGATATCCACACCTCTACATCGGTATCCTTTCGTCCCCGTTGTTTATCTCATTTGCATTGTATCTCGGTTGCCAGATGCGGAGCTGTCAGTCTATCATACTTGATGACACCGCCAGGCAGTTATGGGGCAGCGCCGTCACTTTATTCGCCACTATTTTGTGCAAAGTTTTACTTTTTAAAACTCATCAATGTGCTAGTGAGTCCATGAGAATCCTGGCATTGAGCTGAAAGGTTGGTGTCTAGAGTCGACCGTGCTTGCTAGGCTGAATCGCTTCGCTTCTCAACAGAAAACCTCCAACCAGCAGCCAGCCATCGCTGCCACACTGTGTTGCAGAATTGTTGCATCCCACTTATAGAACCGCCTTGATCTGATACGTGGACTGTACCCCTGTTTCGGGACCATCAACCGAAAATGGCAGACTACCAAGGATCTGTATGCAGGTTTCGTGTTGGTTGAACCAACAACACTGTCCGAGGCCAAGAAGAGGGGTAATCAGGCGAGACTGTCTCTTTGTCTTTCAAAACTCTTGAACTTCCATTAGAGTAGTGTTCGACGGGCTTCGGCTGAACTTTTGTGGCCGTCAAACTTTGCAAAATGTGTGCAGATAACAACACGAACCCGGTGGCTCAACCGTCAACGGCGGCGGCTCAGGCAACGCAACCCAACGAGACGACCGATCATGAAGTTGTGCTCATTGCTGAGGACCACGACGAGAGCGACGCTGAATCGAACCTTGGCAGCGTGAGCAACTCACCATCTAAATTCTCATCTTTGATGTTGACTACTTGAACCAGAGCGTTGCATCCTCGAGTACGAGTGTCAGCAGTTCTATCTTGGAATACAGGATAGAGAACGGGAGAACGTATCACGCGTATAAAGACGGCAGTACGTTGGAATCCTTAAGTCACTCACGCATGTGTCGCAGTTGTTAAATGAAGCTGACTCATGTTTTCGTCAGAATACTTCTTCCCGAATGATGAGAGGGAGAATGACCGGCTTGGTAAGATCATCAGTATTCACTTGAAGCCTAGGATGTTGACCTTGCGCCACTGCGGTAGATCTCCAGCACAACCTCTTCATCTTGACTTTTGATAACAAGCTCGCAACTGCTCCACCCAATGATCCAAGATCGAAGGTTGGCAATGTTCTCGACGTTGGAACTGGTAGCGGTATCTGGGCTATCGACTTTGGGGAAGAGCACCCTGATGCTGAGGTTTGCGGAGTCGATCTTTCAGCTGTCCAGCCTGAATTGTGAGTGTATAGTGAAATATAGGGCCCAGGCGGGATGCTAAAAACTAACGCGAGCATCCAGTGTGCCACCAAATGTCAAGTTTGAGATAGACGATATCGATCAGCCTTGGACATTCTCGAAACCATTTGACTACATTCATAGTCGGATGATGAATTCGTCCATCAAAGACTGGAAGGCCTACATACAGACGTGCTTCGAGTAAGTAGCAAGATTTCCGTTTTAAGAAGGCGGAGCGGACTCAGTGTCAGGAGGTGGCTAAGCTAGACTGCAGCAATCTGAGTCCCGGAGGGTACTTGGAGCTGATTGAATTCGATGCCGTGCCAACATCAGATGATGGCACCCTGAAGCCCGACTCGGCAATCACGAAGTCCGCCACCCTACTCTTCGATGCGGCAGCCATCATTGGTCAACCATTCGAGGACATCAGCAGGATGAAAGATGTCCTGATCGAGACCGGGTTCGAGGACGTACGCAAACAGCTCTATAAGTGGCCGACAAACTCTTGGCCCAAGAACCCGAAGTACAAGGAGTTGGGAATCTGGAATCATGAGAATGCCATCGCTGGCTGGGAGGGCTTCTGCATGGCTCCGTGCACTCGGGTCCATGGGTGGAGCAGGGAAGAAGTGCTTGTTCTCATGGCTGAGGCCCGCAAAGAGTTCAAGGATAGGACTATCCATGCGTATTTCAACATGTGAGCTTATTGAACTCCGTTCCTACTGGTCGCGGTTACTAACTATTCTCAGCTGGTCCATCTATGGAAGGAAGCCTCTCGTCTCTGAGTCTTCCACCTAGTTTTCGGAAATCGGATTTGTTAGCCCGACAGGGATCATTGATAAGCCACGTTTGAGCAGGGAAC